AAATCCATGCCCTGCCCTTGGCGCCCAGCAGGCCTTCTCTGCAGCGCGTGGGACTTCAGCCTCCTGCTAGTACAGGTAGGCACCCAGCGCTGCCCACTCCCAGAAGGGAGACCCATAGGAGTCAGAGACTGCTGGGTAGGGAACTCCAGGCCACCTTCGTAGCCCAGGAGGGGCACACAGGCTCCTGGCCACTTTCCATTCATCCTCCCTGCCCCACAGGGAAGGTGAGGCCAGAGAAAGTCCAGAGGAACCTGGAAAGTGTGAGGGCCTGGGTCAGGGCCCAAACTCTCCCAAGCTGAGAACAGGACTCGTTCTTGTCTTCTTGGAACCCACAGCGCCCTAGTGCAGCAGAGACTTTCATCCCAGGTCTTCAGACAGCACAGAGAGGGCAAGGGACTTGCCCGAAGTCACACAGCGATTGAATCGTGGGCAGGACAGAACCAGCCCAGGTCTCCGGCTTCCAGGCCGACTCCACGCTCTGCACCCCATCCACGCGCCACACACCTCCTCTCTCCCTGCCTGTGCTCCCCGAGGGTGTCTCTGCCTCCTCACCCCATCCCTCCCTGCACTGAACTCTGGCTGAGAACAGCGAATGCTTTGGCGGAGTAGCTCTAGCGATTCACAGTTATGACAGGCAGAAGGCAGAGATCATTAGGTCTGGAGGGGCGCAGGGCAGTCTCCTGGACCCCCCAGTGCGGGGCCAGCAGCCGCTTCCTCTGCATCCCCGCCGGGCTACTCCCTCACCCAGTGTCACACCACGGGGCGACACCTCCTCGACGCTGTCTGCTCTCCGTACTAGGATGGGCCCTGTGTGGAGTTTTTTCTGTTTCCTCCACTGATGAGGAAAAAAGAAGTCTGTGATGGGGCGGCCCCAGCCATGGCTGTTATCAGATCTAATTTCTTTACCCCACCCCCGTTTCCTTTAGTACCGGATTGAATCCACTGAGCTACGTTCCCGGCCCTTTGTTGTTTTTTGTTTGTTTGTTTGTTTGCTTGTTTTTGAGACTGTGCTGTCCCTTTAAGTCACTTAACTTGCCCAGGCTGTGCTTGAACTTGCGAGCTTCCTGCTTCATCCGCCCAAGTGCTGGGGTTACAGGCGTGCGCCACCGAGCCCGGCTTTATCGTAAATCATGTACCATAAAATCTATCTGTTTCCAGTCCACAATTCAGTGATTTTTAGGATATTTACACAGTTGTGCGACCATCGTCACAATCTAATTTTAGAACCCTCATCACCCCTAAAAAGAGCTCTCGGAAGGATGCAGAGTGCCCGCCTGGCAGAGCCTGCCCAACAGCCAGCCCTCCGCCACTTTTGGCCACAGTGGCCCCTGTTACCATGGGAACCTTGGCAAGGTGATCCCCAGGTGTTCCAATGGTGGCTGGTCTGTGTTTTTTTGTTAAGTACTTTATGTATCTTCTGAATTCTTTTCAAATGGAGGACATATGATTTCTTTTAATTAGTTGCAAAAGAGAAGTCTATTTCCATTTTGAAAATGTGAAGTCATCAACACTTGGAAGTGAGGGAGGGCGAGAGGGAGGGAGCGGCAGGAAGCAAGGAAGGAAAAAAGAAAGTAGGAAGAAGGAAAGATCATAGCTTCTGGTTAGTGGGGAAAATGGCTGCTATGGAGAGCACCCGCCTACCCATCATCAGCTTGCACTGTGGCGTTGGGCGGGACTCTTCCTCTTTTGTGCCTCAGTTTCCCTCAGGCCGAGGGTGGAGAATGGTCAGAAGTCATCTTGAAATCATTTTCAGTCAGCAGGGGTGTGCTGAGGGCTGTGCCTGGGCCCTGGAACATGGAGGAAAGCCGGGTGTGTTGGTACACACTTGTAATCCCAGTACCTGGGAGGCTGAGGCAGGAGGATCGCTGCAAGTTGGTGGCCAGCCGGGGCTACATAGCAAGACCCCGTCTCAGAAAAACCAAAGAAGGAGGTGAGGGGAAGAAAGAGAGACAGAAAGAGGATGAAAAGGCCAAGGCTGAGGCTGGACTGTCCTGCCATGGCCAAACCTCAGCTTGAAATGCATGAGCTGTGACGTGGGACTTCTCGGGATGCCTGGGGCCTCCTGGGGCAGCAGGAATAGAGAGGGACTTGTTGCTGGGCACAGCCTCACCTCTGCCACTGTAATTCTTGGCCCACCTGCCCCTTAGCCCTCACCCAGCTCCGCCCTCCACAGAGTATCTCAAAGCCTGCCCAGCCCCTGCTTGTTCCCCACTCTGAGGTCCAGATTTGGCCCAAAACATCCCAGGCCCCCTGCTCTTCCCACCAGCCACCCTGAAACCCACAGCGTCCCTCCCAGGGATGCCCAACTTGGGTTCCCAGCATGCTCGAGTTATTTACCATCACCAGTTACTCAGGCATCGACTGGAGGTCCCAGCAGTCCATTGTACTGTGGACACAGGTCAGAAACGTGCTCATTTGTTCACAGCCACACAGCTCCCAAGTGATGGCTTTGACATTCAGTCCAGGCCTGGCATCGGAGCTCACAAGGCAGAAGATGTAAAAATGACTCCCAAACCAGCCGTGAAAGCACAGGCCTGTCATCCCGGCACTCGAGAAGGCTGAGGCAGGAAGATTGCAATGTTGAGCCCAGCCCAGACAACTTGGCTAGACTCTTGTCTCAAAATAAAAATTTTCCAAAAGAGCTAACTTAGTGTGAAGGCCCTGGGTTCATTCCCCAGCACCCTGGGTCCACCCCAAAGCAGGCGTGTTATTTCCTGGTATCGGCTTGCATCCAACAGAGCCTGGCAACCAAGGCTCCCTGAGCCCTGGTCCCCAGATCTCAGGCCCTAATGATGGGGGTCCCTTTGGTCCTCTGGTGTGTTTTTCCGACACCCCTGGGGGTGACAGTGCCAGTTCACATGGTGTAGGTGGCTCCTGGGAGGCCCTCTGTGCCTCAGGTCCAAAGGCGGCTCTACAGATGGTGAGGCGCCCTGTCCCTGGGAAGCCACCATCTGCTTGGACCGTGTGGGTTGAGCTGGCAAGGCCCCTGCTCCCACCCCCGTACTGGCGCAGTGTGCTGGTGGGCCTGGCTCGCTCTCTCTCTCTCTCTCTCTCTCTCTCTGTATCCTCCGCTCGCTCAGCCTCCAGAGAGGCTGGACAGGGTGGGGCAGGGTTGGCACTGCTGGAGGCCACATGGGCCTGGTCTCCCTGGGGACCTGTTCCCTCCGACAGGGCGCCGAGCTGGGACAGTGTATCCGGGTGGAGAGAAAGGGCCATGCTCGTTCCTTCCGGTATTGTGTGAGCACCTACTGTGTGCTGGGCTCACCATCCAGACACAGGCCCCTGCTGGTCTGTCCGGGTGTGAGGCTAAGAAGCTGGCTCTGGGTGCCATCTCATCTCAGCCACCTCTCCCATTGCTGTGTGTCCTGCAGCTCCCTGCCCCATCTAGGCCTGGTCCCACCTTCTTCTGTTTTGGGGGGTTTTTCTTTCTGGACACAGGGTCTCACTATGTAGGTCAGGCTGGCCTTGAACTCACTGTGTTGACCCAGCTGGCCTCAAACGCACAATGATCCTCCTGCCTCAGCCTCCCAAGTGCTGGGATTACTGGTGTGCACCATCAGGCTCACCGCTCCACCAGTTCCGATACAGGCCAGGTGAGGGCCTCACTCACTTTGAGAACCTGGATCCTGGGACAGGGTGGCACCTCCCAGCCTGGCACCCCCATGCCCACGCTGGCCCCAGGACAGCTTGCACTAAGGACTCCACATCCAGTCGTAGCCCTGCTGCCTGATCTCTGCTGCCCCTCAGCCTCTCCTTGAAGAGCCCAGCAGGCGTCCTGACGTGGGGCAGGCTGGCCCAGGACCCTCATCCCCACTCCCCTCACCAGGGTCCTGGGTTCCACACCCTCTATGTGGCACCTCTAGCCCACCAGGGCCCGGTGGACCATCTGCTGAGGGGGAGGCCTGCAGGGAAGGTCCGTGTCTGTGCGTGGGGGCTCTCCATGGGGAGTCCCATCCTTCTCAGCCCCTCCTGCAGTTGTCATGGCAACCGCAGTTGCCATGGTATTGCTGGGCAGGGAGCTGGTGGGGAAGAAGGTGGACCCCTGACCCCCACAGCCACTTCAGCCTCTGGAGACTATCTCCACAGCCCTGGGGTTCCCCAAAACCAGAGCACTCACCCCGACCCCCTACACTTGGAAGGGGCCACTGAGTAAAGGGTGGGGGAAAGAGAGGCAGGAAGTCCCCACCCACCGCTCCCTCCCTCTGTGCTGTGCGGCCACCTCCAGCTCACACCCGCTGCATCCCAGTGTCTGTTTACTTGTCTGTCTCTCCCACCATGCTGGGAGCCTGCGAGCACCTCAGGTGGGGAGCTGAGTGACTCATCATCTCCGTCCCAGGCCCAGCACTGGGCCCAGCACAGCCCCGATTTAATTGAGTTACATAAAAAGGCAAGTCTGGCTCCTCCGGTGGGGGGGCGCAGCACATTTGGATGGGAGAGTTTCCAGGCCTCAGGTCCAGCAGGCTCTGGGTTTGAATCTCACTTCTGGGGCTGGAGGGTAGCTCAGCACTTGCCTAGCCTGTGTGAGACCCTGGGTTCAAATTCCAGCAGTGCAACAAAACATCCAGATGTAGCAGCAAATACTTGTAATCCCAGCACTCAGGAGGCTGAGGCAGGAGGATGCAAGCCCAGCCTGGACAACTTAACAAGACTCTGTCTCAAAAAAGGGCTGGAGAAATAGCTCAGTGCAGAGGTCCTGGGTTCAGTTCCCAGTACTGGGGGGAAAAAAGAATGTAAGGCACCGCCTGGCACCAAGCAAGAGTTGCTACTGCCATCTCCTCCCTCATTATGGTGACTGACTGCTGTCCCCAGAACGTTACTTCCACACTGGCATGAGGATACTTTGTGAGTCTGGATCTGGCTCTGGGTTCAAGCTGAAAGGCCAGGGCTCTATCTAGCTTTGTCTGAACCCAGGCTGAGCCTGAGCAACTGTCCCAGGGCTCTGCAGAGGTGGCTGCCTGGATCTCTGGCCCACTTCCCCTTTCCTGGGTCCCGGGGATCCCATGACTGCTGATTCTGACAGCCTGGTTCCTGGAGAGGCCTCCAAGCTCACCCCAGCCTGCTACGAGAGGGTTCAAGAAGAGCTCTCAGAACCCAAAACCGGCATCCTCAATCATCAGATGAAGCCGAGTGCGACAGTGCATACCTGTAACCCCAGCATTCTGGGAGTTTTTTTTTTTTTTTTTTTT